GGAGTAAATCTGGACTTAATCGTGGCCGCTGCACCTGTCGTATCGACGAGATGTGCCCCCCGGTTCTCATTAGTCGTTCGCTAATGACCTGCTCAGTAGAAAAACTCATGGCGATGGGGGAGAAGGTGGAGATGAAAGTTGGGAGGGAGGAGAATCAGAATATTCAAGTTGGAGATCGTTGTCTTCTTCTTCGAAATCGAAGGAAGCCGTGGACGAGGGGAGAGACAAAGAAGGAGGTAGGGGACGAAGATAGGACACATGTCGGATGATCGGTCGAGCTGATCGACTTTCTGACACCTTTGGCGCAAGCCGCACCATGTTCACTCCGCTAGGACTGAGCTCGACTACGTGAAATCACTCGAAGAATCGTAGCGCTATCTTGCCTTGGTGAGCACATTTCCTCACCTGCACTATGTCCCCTAATTTGTACTGGGGCCGGGGTCCAGCGTTCCCATTTCGGGCCTCGTAGCTCCGGACCTGTCGTCCGTGGGCCATTTCGGTCATTCGCTGTCTCTTTCAGGCTAACCGGGGGAGGGCCCTTTCCATCAATTCTAGGTGGCATTGGGCCTTATCCTTAACCGTCGCTCTAGTGGCCCGTTGCAGAAGGGTCGTTTCGTCATTTAGGCTCGGTAAGGCCACACAGGCCAAACTATTGGTTCACAATTGGAAGGGGGTCAGACCGGTAGAGTCGTGGGGTGTTCCGCGGTGAATAGCCAGGATGTGGTCCACGATATCGGGCCAAGGCCTCGTGTTTTTCGATGCGATATTACGCCGCAATGCCATCTTGATTACTCAGTTCACGTTTTCTACCAGTCCGTTAGATTGCCATATACGGGGGGCAGTATTGGGGATGGAGACACCATGTAGGACCAGGGTCCTCAGGACTCCCCTCTGAATTCTGCCCCGTTGTCCGTTAGGATCTCCTCTGTGTCCTGATGCATTCTGAGAAAACGGTTAACATACGGAGCGATCTCCGCCGCCTGTCGTGTCCTGCACGGATACGCCCCGATCCATTTAGAGAAATGATCCACAAATACCAAAAGAATTGAATATTCATAGCTATTTGGTCCAGGGGGCACAACAATATCCGTGGTATCCATACTGACCCTTTGGAACGACCGTTCAACTACGGTGGGCATTATCGATCTCGAAGGCTGAATCGACGCCTTGTCGGCGGCACAGACCAGACAATTTTGGACGATGAATTTAACATCGTCACGAATGTTGGACGAATACCATTCATTCTTATCAATTGTCGCCTCCGTAATCCGGACGGCGAAGTGGGCTGCAGTGTCCTCGTGCGCCGACTTAACCCAGTCATACCTCTTGAACGGATGAGGCACGACCATCCAAATTCCACTACCATCTGTCTTTCGCTTTTCTAACTGCCCCTCGCTCCATCGGGAATCCCGTGCCCTCTCATTGACCCGCCTTCGATCCTCCTTAGTGAATTCTCGGAGGGGGTTCCCAACTACCGCGGCTATCAAAACGGCATTTGTCCATACTTCAGCCCTCCTAAACCTACGAGTCTTTTCCAATCCCTTGGACGTGGCTTCGAGGAATCGAGCTTCGGTCAGGATCTTATCAGTCCGACATAAAGGGCATAGCCAGGTTTTGTCCGCGTTCCTGTACTGAATACAGGAGTCGTGGGCCCCGAAGACACACTGTTGACAATTTATCCATTCGACATATCCTTCCCCGCTAGGACACATAGGAACCGAGTAGACACGCGAGATTGCTTCGCAAAACAACAAAATTTGAATTTGTCGGGCAGGGAGGGAAACGACGAAGATGAGAGGGGAGCGAGGGGTCCTCCTGATATTACCTCCACGTTCCATCGCCACCATGCTTGTCAATCACTGCTTAGAAGTTCGAGACAGGATGACCACTTGTCCCTACGAGAGCCCGACAGTTGGCTCCGGTTCCTTCCAGGGGGTGATCTCCTCGCCCTTGGCCGCCTTGTTGGGTGGGTGCAACCGTTTCACTCAATCAACATTCTCGTGCTTCTCCGTCTTCCGATGGATGATATCGAAATCGTATTCCTGCAGTCGCACCGCCCAACGTCCAATCATGCCCGTGTAATTGGTAAGCCTCTTGAGGGTCAGCAAAGGCCCATGGTCTGTGACGAGGATAAATTTTTATCCGTATAGATACGGATGGAAGTGATGAATTCACCAGACAACCGCGGAGCACTCACCCTGAGGAGCCGAATCGTTCCTTCTTTCATCGCACACCGTTCGCGAAGCGTACTCGATAACATGCTCGCGACAGTCTTTCCCGTTTTGAGCCAAAATAGCAAAAATCGCCTTAGGCTGCCATTCCGTAAAGAGTATGAACTGCATCTTGGGCTCGGGCTGGATCAAAATAGGCGCCGTGGCCAAAGCCTCCTTCAAAGTGATAAAGGCCCGCTCACACTTGGCGTTCCATCTCAGTGGCCGGTCCTTTTGTAGAAGATTCGTTAGAGGTCGTGCGATTGCTGCGAATCCCTTGATAAATCGACGGTAGTATGAGGCCAGCCCCAAGAAGGTCCGGACCTGTGTCAACGGCGTAGGCGTGGGGGCGTCTCGAACAACCACGAGCTTTCTCGAATCTGGTCTCAGCCCTCCCCGGGTCACCGCATACTCTAGGAACGAGATCTCTGTGAGAAAAAACTCACTTTTCTCGCAGTGCTCCAAGTGTCCCCTTGATATTATGCTGTGCATGGCCGTGAAATGATTCTGAGTACACCCGAATATCGTCCACGTACACAATGATGTAGAAATTGATCATCCCCTGAGTTAGTCTGGTCTTGTTGACGAAGTTCTGAAACGTGACGTTCATTGCTCTCTGGAAAGTAGCTGGCGCGTTGCAAATCCCCATCGGGCAACGAATCCACTGCTAGGTGCCCTCGAATAATACAAAGGCCGTTTTTGGCCGATCCTCCTCCTTAACCAAAATGTGATGGAATCCGCGACGAATATCAAATTTACTAAAATAATTAGCACACCCAATCRCATCCAATAGATCATCAATTCGGGGAAGAGGGTATACATCTTTAATCGTGATGTCATTCAACTTCCGGTAATCAATGCAAATGCGAATCGACCCATTTTTCTTAGGAACTAAGACTACGGGAAATGACCATGGCCAATAGCCGGCTCGATCCATCCGTTCGTTTCGAACTCTTTGATTCTTTGCAAGGCTACTTTTCGTTCCGTAAGAGAGTATCGGTGCGGTTTGCAATCAATCGGCGGGTGGGCCCCCGTCTGAATTTCGTGCWRGATGACTAACGACAACCCGATATCCGTATCTTTTACGCTAATCGCTCCCCGATATTCGGTCAGGATTTCGACGATCACTCGATGGATTTCATCGGGCACGTACTGAGGCACATGCAGCTTGTACGGTTGTCTGTATATCATAATCGTCACCTATTTCATGCCCRTTCTACAGCTGCTTCCCGCAGGAGGAGTGAAGATAAAGGAGTTGTCCGATYGCCATCAGAACACTGTGGCCACCAACTGAGCGYCTTCTTCTCGGATGGCCACGTGTTCTTCCGGGGTCACGCCATCGTTGATGTCCCACCAGCATACCAGTTTCTCGGTGATTCTGATCCCAAGCTCGTAGGGCGTGGAACTGTCGCGCGCAGGGGGTTCCAAAGCCTCGCTTTCGGCACCCTGCCGCAGTAACCAGACCTACTTCCCCGAAGATAGTAAGGAACGAGGCAGCCCTGTAATGTCGCAAAATGCCTTTTTTCCCTATATCTTGAGAGAAGTGAAGATGCGGCCTCATACAAGGTCCGAGGGGGTTCCAAAGAATCGCCCATCCGGGATACTTTTGTGGGTACTTGGTTCCCCCAGGATTAATGAGCTCGTTCGCTGCAGATTTCCTTCCGTAAGGATGAACGTTTTCGTGGTCTTCTGTCGGATTGGGTTTTCAGTTTCTAAAGGGCAAAAAAAACATGTGCGGGCAACAAAATCGGGTGCGGACACTGCGGAGTTTAAAAACGGCAATATCGGTAAAAATGGCTGTGGCCCACGTGTGATTTTGTTGCCCGTTTCAAACTCGGCGCGCGGGTGAAAATGCTTTTGTTGCTCTTTTGAATTTGGCAACTCGGCGCGCGAGTTTGTTGCCCACGTGTGATTTTGTCGCCCTTCTCAAACTTGTTTGTGCCACAACCGAAATTACCCCAAATGTCAATTTTAATTTATAACGAACTGGCTGGGCTACCAGCCGTACCGCCCGGGTGACCTTGTTGGACCAGGGCGGCCCAGCCTTGGTAGGTAGGACCAGCAAAAAATAAAAATAGAAATAAAATCCAAACTGAAAGAAAAACTATGTGACGCACAACAAACATAAGCTGGACAACTTTTGCCTCCTCAGGGTCACATCGAACTTCGTTACAAATTTGAAAATTTCAAATAAAAAATAAATTAAAAATAGTAAAACAGATTTAAGTAGTTAAAAATACATGTTTTTTTTGCTTTTCAATTTTCAAACCAACACAGCCCCTTCTATTCCTGGGGGCCATCAGTCCGGTTACTTATCACTGGCAAAGTTGGCAAACACGTTTTCTTACATCCATCTAAGGGAGGGGGCAGATCGGAAAAGGAAAGCAACAGTCCCACCCTTGTGGTACCAGACATCTATCAATGGGGGGACTGCTTTTTTTTTTTTTGGCCCGGCCGGGCAACTTTCCCCGGACCAAATAGCAGTTTTGAGAGCCTGCACGGAGCCATGTGCAGGGTTCGACATCGCTCTTTTTCCCAACACCTTGAGAGCAGGCAGTCCTGCTCAGAGCCCAGTTCGGAGTTCAATCCCTCTTGTGGGTTTGGATACGCAGCCAGGCAGTCCCCTCGGGGTGGCGCTGAGCTCCCTCACATGACAGAACCCCTAACCAACAAATCCAATCCAAGGGGAAAACTCTGCATCTTTTAGAACTAAGGAATAGAAGAATTGGTAACAATAAACTAAAAACGGGAGGGAGTCGAGCAGGTCATGCACAGGTTGCTAGCACATACCTGGGGTGTGTACTCCATAAGGACGGATACCTGTAGACTGCTACCGCTAATGTCGGTCATGTTGCGCAACTGAACAGTCATGTTCAAGAGCTTCTGTGGCGTTGACGAATCGCCTTCCACCTCAGATAGATGAGCGGCACAGATCCTCCTGAATTCTGGCCTGTGTTCCGCAATCTGGAGCTGTACACAACCAATAAGTAAAAAAGAGAGAGAGAGAGAGAGAGAGAGAGAGAGAGAGAGAGAGAGAGAGAGAGAGAGAGAGAGAGAGAGAGAGAGAGAGAGAGAGAGAGA